TGCTACAGAAACCGGGATAAGCTCCGGCCTGATGGGCCACTTGGCTCGTACGCAGACTTTACCTTACCTTACCTTTTTCTTTGTATTTGTTTGTTAGCAGTTCCCAGGCCCTGCTGTGTAGAAATCTCGTGCTTTTCAAATCCAAAATGGAGTACAATATCGAACACTATCGAACGAACTTAAAGCGATATGCAAAGATCTTGAAGAACCTGATTTTGAGGAGGAAGAGGATCCGAAACGTATTTCAAGTCATTAAGAAGGTAATTTTTATAATAAGCTCAAACTTCAAAGCTAAAATCCAGGTGAGCAAACTTATGCGAAGCTTCCAACTGGCACCTATTTTGCATTGTGAACACATGTTTGGTTAAAATGCGTTGGGAACGCCGTTTCCATGCTTAGAATCTCGCTTAAAGTAATGAGAAGCAGGCTGCTTTTGGGAGCATAGAGCTCAGTAACTTCAGTAACATTGGGATCGCCCGTCAGGAGCCGGGTCCGCCTTATTTCCTATAGACGGACTCGGCTAACGCGTTTATATCTTTGTTGCCACCCAATAGACCATTTTACACTTGTCTGCTCAGTGACCTGGCCTTTGGATGGCAGCGAGGCTGGAGTTGACCTTGTTTTGGTACAGACCTCACCGCTTTTGTTGTGTAAAACAAGTTGTTCTGATGCTAACTAGGTGCATTTGCATAACAAAAGCAGTGAGGTCTGTATCAAAACAAGGTCTACTCCAGCCTTGCTGCCATCCAAAGGCCAGGCCACTGAGCAGACAACTGTAAAATCGCCGTGATGATTCATTTGGGAGGTTACAGTTGTGCAATTTGTCACACGCAACTGATTGAATAGGTACAAACAGAACAATTGCCGGTAAACCTCCTAGGTGAATAATCACATGATCTATATTGGGTAACAATATGTCTATTTTTGGCTTGCACTGTCACGCAATAAAAAAATATTTCGAAAACCATTCAGTGGATAAAGTTAGGAAATTGTGATGTTATAGAAGATTGGCAAAGAAGACTCTTCTCTAAGTTTTACGTCTGCGCGTTTTCCTAAACTTCAAATATTCGTCGAAATATTTTGCACAAATTTACAGAGCCCAGTATGGAGCCACCATGTTGGTGTACCTCCGTGGGACACCAACATGGCGGCCGGAAAATAGTGTAAACATCTGAAACTTACATTGTCTATCTAGGCGACTGATTATCTGTACTGAACAAAGAAGCATTCACATAAGCACTTTTCCTAATACTTTAACTTCTAAATAGGCTAGTATATATTTTTCGACAAACGCGTTCGTGGCTTTATGTCACGCACCGCCATAACTCTGAAATTCAAAATGCGCTGGTTTCCAGACGAAGCAAGCTACTGAGCTGAAAAGTTGTAAGCAAATATACATTTACCCCCTCTTATGCCTGACGAGGATAAAAACTTTGGTGGCTCTTTAGTTTTAGATTTTAAAAAATGATGACGTCACGTGCAAGACAAAGAATAAGGGGTCGCTCTCCCTGTTGATTCGAGTTACAACTCTCGGAAGCCGTCGGTGGTGTTCGGACGATCCCAAGGTTTGGTCAACGCTAGAGAAATGGGTACAAGCTGTTCCATCGATTTCGTCCACCATATCAGAACTGCTTTGCACGTGTAATATTCATCTCATGGATTTAAAACAGATCTCCCTCCTGGGGTTTCCCCGAAGGTTAGTTATTTGTTTAGCTATTATCTTTTCATTATTATTTTTCACTTCTTCTGGTATTCTGTATTTCCTTGCCCTTACAATCGGTTAGCCCTGGTGTTGTTAAGATCGTCTATAAATGATAGATACATCACAAAGTTATCTGTAAGACTGTTCGAATAACTGTAGTAA